GACTGGTAAACATCTTACATTAGAAATGATGTGAATAAAACTAATTGTGTATTGCAGATTAAACAAAGGGAATGTGTAATAATAATTTTTCCATTTTGACTGTCAGCACTAATTCCAACATGTGATCCTATAGCAATAGATTTATTGATCAGGTCTTGAAATACCTATCTTGTTATTTAACTCAGTCTGAATTCTGATAATCAGACTGTGTAAGATTTCTACTTCTCTTCCTAAATTGTGCCAAATTTTATAACTTATAAAAGCCAAAAGAATCTTAGTCTCTTGGTTAAGAGGCCAATCAGAACTAACTGTTACGTTATAATTTAAAGAATGAATGTATATAGTAGGAAACTAATAGCTTTATCATAAGTGAGGTGAAGCAATGACATTAAACTTTTATTAGTGAATGTATCATCCAATACTCTGTCTTCTCCAATAGAAAAATTATGCCAAATGGATGTTGTGACCTAGTTTTCATGGTTGAATGATTACTGTTATCATTTGTCAAGATTGAAGTAAAGTTTTAGTTATCAGGTAGTTTGATGTGATGTGAACTTGAAACTTTAGTCACCAATACATCAGGAACTATTTCTGTGAACATGATATTAACTCTGAGTGAGTGTGACATATTTCATGATTGAATGATTACAGTCAAGGTTTTAAGTCAAATGTGATATAATATGAAGTTAATGGATATCAACATAAACATGTCGATGAAAATATATATAGTACAAGCTACAAATTTCAAAAATCTTTGTCAGAAAGACAGTTTGGCTTTAAATTTATGGTTCTGTGGTAACAGTTATAATACGTAAAAAGGGTTAACATGAATCACCAAAAATAATTAACATAACACCCTACACATTAAACATGAGTTTTTTGCAGTGTTTACTAAATACTTAAAAAACCTAATATTTCAGAAGGTATAAGACCTGGATGCTACATACTTTGTATATAAATGCCTTATGTTATGAAGTTTCCATCTGTCATATGTCCATTTATCCTTGACCTCATTTCCATGGTTCTTTGACAGCTTGAAAAAAAAGTTCAGATTTATGTAATGTTAATTTCTCTCTTGTTATGAGCAATAGGATGACTATATTTGGTATGTGCATACCTTGCAAGGTCTTCATACCTGTCAGACAGTTTTCACTTGACCTCAATCTCATTTCGTGGATCAGTGAACAAGGTTAATATAAATAAGAAGATGTGGTATGAGTGCCAATGAGACAACTATCCATCCAAGTCACAATGTGTAAAAAGTAATCAATTATAGGTCAAAGTACAGCCTTCAACATGGAGCCTTGGCTCACACCAAACAGCAAGCTATAAAGGGCCCCAAAAAGACTAGTGTAAAACAATTTAAACAGGAAAACCAACAGTCTAATCTATATAAAAAAACGAGAAACACTTATGAACCACAACAACAAACGACAACCACTGAACAACATGCTCCCGACTTAGGACAGGTGCATAATAATGCAGCAGGTTTAAACGTTTTTACGCGCCAACCTTTACCCTAACCTGAAACAGTGGTACATGTATAGCATTACAACATAAAAATGCACACAATAAAATATCAATTGAAATGGCTTAACTCGATCAAAAAGACAATAACAAAAACAAGTAAATATACACTGAACAAATAAGTATGATCTATGACACAATATAAATAAAAAAGATATTTCAATGTCAAAAAGACAACTTTAACCTAGGACAAAATGGCGTTAAATAAAGTAACGTACACAGGTAAATTTAAATATAATAATATTGTTGTTAGGAGTACAGAAACATATTTTACAAAATAAATTTGTTATTCATAGTGCGAGTACAGAAGTGAAAATTTTTTCGTCATACTAAATACTTATCAAAGGTGGTACATATAAAAAATATTAAGACCAGATATAACACAAAATAAATAACATTGAATTACAAATTGTGTCAACAGGTCAAATTAACACGAAAGTACGATTTGAGAGTACTCGCAGTTACTGAAAGCTAGTTAAAAGCCAAAATCAATTTATAATAAAAAATCATGCATCAGAGACTAAAATCAATTAAAACACATCCCAGGCAGGGATTTAGTGTTTTAACGCCATGAACAGTCAAAGAAGACATGACTTGTGCAATGCCAAAATAAAAGTAACGACAGGCAGTAGGATAGTTACTATTTAACCTTATAATAAATATGTATGATGTAATGTATAGATAAAACAATTTCTAAAAAGAAAATAAACGTGGATGAGAAGATATACATCCCAAAAAACCATTCGTAAAGAATACAAATTTAGTTATGTTTTAATTTGTTGATGACAAAATCAATGTCAGTGCCAATGAAAACAATATTCAAAGATCTTATTACAACATTAATAAGATAACCTTTACTAATAAGTTTGTTTAAAGGTTCGATAAGTTTACACGGATCACATAGTCATTTCCGCGCTTTTAGTACAATGTACAATATTACCGTAAAATTTAGGATGTGAAATACCATTTTTAATAAGTTTTCTACAGGTACAGCCAAATTTACTATCAAATCTTTGTATCTATGAAAGAATTTAGTAAATGTTTTAAGTAATTTATGGTAACGAAATCTCTGACTTAATAATTTACCAGTGATACATTGATTACGTTCATTTAAATCTATGACATCACTACACACACGGGCATAACGAACGAGTTGGGATATATAAACACCTTATGATAGAGCCAAAGGAACATCGCCGTCAAAAAAAGGAAAATTAACAATAGGGAATGAAAAATCGTCTCTTTTGTCGTAAATTTTTGTATGGAGTTTCCCTTTAGAAATTGAAATGTCTAAATCTAGAAAAGGACAACAACTGCTGTTTATGTTAGATTTATTTAAAGTAAGTTCCTTTGGGTAAATTTCAGTAGTATATTTAGAGAATTCTGGATTATTTAATGAAAAAATATCATCAAGATAACGTTAGGTATTGTTGAATGTGTGAACTAAATGTAACAATGACGTGTCTTTACTGATTTTGGCCATAAACTGTGATTCATAGCAATATAGGAATAAATTTGCTATTAAAGGGGTGCAATTAGTGCCCATAGGAATACCTACTACCTGTCGATACACTTTATCGCAGAAACGTACATGAGTTTATGTGTTCAAGTCCATATAATATCAGATACTATAAGCAATAGGTCTACTATATTGGATGTATGTAATGATAATAAGGTGTACATGTCCAACTGGAGGGTGTCATCTGACCTTGACCTCATTTTCATGGTTCATTGGACAATGTTAAGTTTTGGGATTTTGTCTATTTCTCAGATATTATAAACCATAAGTCAACTACCGGTATATTTTGTGTAAGGAAAGATTGTAGCGTGTACATGTCTGTCTGATAGGGTTCATATGACCTTGACCTCATTTTAATGGTTCATTGGTCAATTATAAGTTTTCATAATTTTGTCAGATTATCAGATACTTTTAGCAATAGGTCAATTACATTTGGTGTATGGAATGATTGTAAGGTGTACATGTCTATCTGGCAAGGTTCATATGACATTGACCTCATTATCATGCTTCATTGGTCAATGTTAAGATTTTGTGGTTTGATCTGTTTCTAGAGTACTATTAGCAATAGGACCACTATATCTGGTGTATGGAATGACTATAAGGTGTACATTTTGTACATGACTGTCTGGCATGGTTCATCAGACCGTGACCTCATTTTCATAGAATATTGATAATGTTAAGTTTATTTGATACTTGTAGTAAAACGTTCATATTACAAACTTTCAACATGCAATCAATGACAGGTAAAACAGGCGGGACATTTCAGTTTCAGCTCTCTTGTTTCTTTAATATATTATCCCTCTCCAGATGTTTTTCAGAGAATATAGAAATACTAGGATTTTTTGTTATGTTAATTTCTCTCTTATAATGAGTAATAGGATAACTATATTTGGTATGTGCATACCTTGCAAGGTCCTCATGCCTGTCAGACAGTTTTCACTTGACCTCGACCTCATTTCATGGATCAGTGAACAAGGTTAAGTTTTTGTGTTTAAGTCCATATCTCAGATACTATAAACAATAGGTCTACTATATTTGGTGTATGTAATGATTGTAAGGTGTACATGTCCCACTGGTAGGTGTCATCTGACCTTGACCCCATTTTCATGGTTCAGTAGTAAAAATTAAGTTTTTGTGTTTTGGTCTGTTTTCCTAAAACTGTATGCAATAGGTCAACTATATTTGGAGTATGGAAATATTTTACGATGTACATATCAGTCTGGTAGGTTATATTTGACCTTGACTTCATTTTCACAGTTCATTGCTTAATGTTAAATTTTGGTGTTTTGGTCTGTTTTTCTTAAACTTTAAGCAATAGGTCAACTATATTTGATGTTTTGAATGATTTTAATGTGTAAATGTCTGTCTGGCAGGGTTCATCTGACCTTGACCTCATTTTCATGGTTCATTGATCAATATAAAATTTTCATGGTTAGGTCTGTTTCTTTTATACTATAAGCAATAGGTCATCTTAAAGGTGAACATGTATCTCCAGCTTTGTTTATCTGACCTTAACCTCATTTTCTTGGATCGTAAATGTTAATGTGATACTTGTAGTGAAACTTAATTATATTTAGGACTATCAACATAAAATCAATGATCAGTATAGCAGGTGAGACATTTCAGCATTTACACTCTTGTTTTTTTATTTTTCGTTGGACAGATAAAATATGTGCAACGCAGTTGGCAATTGAACTCTGTTCTTTTATACAATTTTAAAAAAAATGTGAAAAGCAACTTGACATAGGGGAGATAATCCAAATTTTAAAAAAAGGTAAAATTACAAAAAAAAATAACAAATGGAATGTTTAGACAAGATAGCATCCAATAACTTATAATAAATATGTGCTTTATTTGTAAATTTTGGCAAACATTTTTTGTGACTTATTATATTTGAAACAATGATGTTTGTTTACATTTTCATTGGTGTAAGCGATCTAAATTGTGACCCAGATTACGAGCGGCCATCTTAAATAATTCACATAACTTTGGGTGATTAAAAAAGGTAATTTTCGTTAAATGTTATCGGATAATATTCTTGTTTTACATTCTGGTAAGATATATACTTTAAAACTCGACTGTTTATGATAGCTTATAAAGAACTGACTTCGCTTTGAAATTGGTATCGTACTTCTGTTATTGTCGCACCTGTGGAGTTGACTTCCGCACTATAAGTTAATTATCATCCTATTGTCTGCTTGTTTTGGTCAGTATGTTTAAATATTCAGGTTAAATGTTTGTTGATTCATATGCACATCGACTGCTGTTCATGATGTCTAGCTGTCTAAAATTGAAGTGATAAACCGGCGTCTGTAGACATAAGTCAATTTTTGCCTTGAAATTTATCATACATGGGAATACATATTTTGGACAATGTGGAAAGGTGACATGTTAAACAACTTGTTTTTCAAAATACCTTATTAGTTCAAAGAGTTTACAAATAGTGCTATCATGCACACAGATGATTTACCAGCCTACAGTGGAGATCACTTCTAACCTCTCATCAAATCTGTCAGAATCTGTCAGGAGAACTGTTCTAGGACAGTATGTAGAACTGTCATCCTGACACCTTTTAGACAGTTCTAGCTAGAACAGTTCTAACCTAGAACTGATTTGCTCAGTTCTACATAGAACTGATTTGGTCAGTTCTACCTAGAACTGATCCTGACAGTTCTACCCTAGAACAGTTTTAGACAGTTCTACCTAGAACTGACCAAATCTGACCAGTTCTACGACTAGGTCAGTTCTACGGCTAGAATTGATTTAGTCAGTTCTATCCATAGAACAGTTTTAAGAACTCTTTGTCTTAAATATAAATAAGTCAAAAGAATATAATACATGTATATATTAAAAAATTGCAGTGACGTCATTTAGAACTGTTCTACAATCCTGACAGGTTTGGTCAGTTCTAAGGCTAGAACAGTTTTAGACAGTTCTGCTGACAGTTCTACGGTTAGAACTGATTTAGTCAGTTCTGCTGACAGTTCTATGGTTAGAACTAATTTGGTCAGTTCTGCTGACAGTTCTACGACTAGAACTGATTTGGACAGTTCTACCTACATGTAGAACAATTTTAGACAGTTCTACCCTAGAACTGATCCTGACAGTTCTACCTAGAACTGATTTGGTCAGTTCTACCTAGAACTGATTCTGACAGTTCTACCTAGAACAGTTCTAGGGTAGAACTGTTCTAGGACAGCTTAGAACAGTTCTATCACAGATTATTCTGACAGTTCTTATGAGAGGTTAGAAGTGATCTCCACTGTAGGTGATGCTGCAAAAAATTCTGGTGAACTGATTTCCCGAGAACTAAAAAACTCATTGTCTGTACCCGAAAACTGACAGATAATACCTGAAAACTTTACTGTATATATGGTAATACTGCTTTTATAAATAATGAAGTTTTATAATTTTGAGATATATCATGTATATAGAGAATAATACATGGCGAAATCCGTATCATATGCCGTATCATCCCGAGATACCAATATCAGCCCGAGGGCCTTTAGGCCCGATGGATGATATTGGTCGAGGATGATACGGCATGTGATACGGATTTTGCCATGTTTTATACGCTTTATAATATATTTAAACAGGAGAGTATATATGAACTGGCACTGCTTTCTGATCCCTAGCACCTGGGTTACCTTCAGATTTACTTTTGTCTTGTTTTAAAAGCTTTAAAAGAACTGCTTAATTATTCATCCAAAGCACCTTGGTTACCTTACAATTTGCGTCCTGTTGTTCATAGAAATATTTTGTTTATTGTAGTTTTTTATGTTTTGTATGGTAACGTCAGTGACGTCACATGGCAAACAATGACATCATTCAATAAATAACGTCACGCCCTAATGACCGTTTCATTTAGGACCCATTGAGGAAAAATATTTCTTGAGAAGCTTGCATAAATTAAAACATGGACTTCATGTAAATTTAGTCGGAATCACTACTGTCATAAATGAGAAATTTGAGTAGGGGTGTGATAAAGGGTGCGCATCAAAGTTGAGCGATTAGGATTAAACAGCAGGCTATTTATCAAATATTCAAAACTACTGTATTTACTACTAAATATATGATAAATGTTATTTATACTCAGTAAAGGTACTATTTAACTTCATGAATTTGATATATATTTATATAGTAATACTGCTTTTATAAATAATTAAGTTTTTGATTTTGAGATATATGTCATTTATACTCAATAAAAAAACAATTTAACTTCATAAATTTTATTTGTGTGTCTTATGCAAAATTTATAACATATAGATAATTATTACATGTATCTATCTTTTGAATAATTATCAATAATAGCAGTATTACATACATACATGTAAACCTTATAAAATACAATTTTCTGCTAATATCTATCAGTTCTCGTGTTAAAATTGAACTTTTTTGAGTTCTCTGGAAATGGAAACAATTTGAGCAAGAGTTACTTCCCTTTTGTCGTCATGTTGGATGGGTTAGTGCGCTTATTCCCTCTTTAATCAGCCATATTCAACTTGTTATACTGACCTCTAGACTAATGAAAATGGTTTTTTCTGAACAAATTTAATTTCTTTATGCCTTGCTTAATTCATTACTATGATCTAGGGAGGATCTCGTATTAGATTTGCGTGTATTGCATAATTCAATATGGTATATATTCTTACTTTTTTTTTTTCAGTGTATCAAGTCAAGGTCTATTTCACTGCGAGTAAAAAGAAAGAAAGATCTCAACAATTTGAATGGTATGGTAACATATTTCTGTAGATTTTCACAGTGATTTTGTGCATGAATGATGATAAAATTTATTTACAAGTTCCCAATAATTTAGGCATGCCAATTTTATTGAAATATATCTTCAATATAAAAACAAGGAGATGCAGTATGATTGCCAATGAGACAACTATCTTAACTATCCACCACAGTTCAAATGAAGTGGATATAAGCAATTTAAGGCCCCAACACAAAAAAAGTGAAACTATTCAAACGAGAAAACTAATGGCCTAATTTATAATTAAACAATTTATAAAAACAAAATATGACAGACTTGAACCGACGACAACCATTGAGCTACAGGCTTCCGAATTCAGCTTATTCTATGTACCTGTATATGTGTATTAATTAGGGGAGATGGAAATATTGTACATCATTCAGGCAGTCTTCAAATAGCACAATAAAATCAGAAAATGAATCTAGAGGTTAACATTGTGTCTCGATTTATAGGGTCTATATACCATATATGTAAATATAGAAATAGCCCAAAATGTATTATTTAAATCATCCCAATACCTAAACATTTGTACAGGACTGATAGTATCCTCGGGGACTTAAGTCCACCAGCAGTAATATTGGCCCAGTGGTAATAAGCATCTTGATACCATACCAATTTCTGTGCATAGCATGTGTTTCTTGAAAAACCATTGTCAGGTCTGCTCATGACAAGTATTTTTGAAAAGTGTGGAAAATGATTACTTGTCATTTCAATGCACATATATGTATGTCATTATGTTGTATCTCCACTCATTGCATTCATTTTTGTCGAGCCTTCGACTTTAGTCGAAAAAGCGAGACATAGCGATCCTACATTCCGTCGGCGTCATCGTTGTTGTCGGCGGCGTCCACAAATATTCACTCTGTGGTTAAAGTTTTTGAAATTTTAATAACTTTCTTAAACTATCCTGGATTTCTACCAAACTTGGACAGAAGCTTGTTTATGATCATAAGATAGTATCCAGAAGTAAATATTGTAAAAATAAAATTCCATTTTTCCGTATTTTACTTATAAATGGACTTAGTTTTTCTGCCGGGAAATATTACATTCACTCTGTGGTTAAAGTTTTTAAAATTTTAATAACTTTCTTAAACTATCCTGGGTTTGTACCAAACTTGGACAGAAGCTTGTTTATGATCATAAGATATTATTCAGAAGTAAGTTTTGTAAAAAAATAAATCCATTTTTTCCTTATTTTACTTTTAAATGGACTTAGATTTTCGGCCAGGAAACAACACATTCACTCTGTGGTTAAAGTTTTTAAAATTTTAATAACTTTCTTATACTTTTTTGGATTTGTACCAAACTTGGACAGAAGCTTGTTTATGATCAAAAGCTAGTATCTAGAAGGAAATTTTGTAAAAAAATAAATCTATTTTTTCCTTATTTTACTTTTAAATGGACTTAGATTTTTTGCCAGGAAACAACACATTCACTCTGTGGTTAAAGTTTTTAAAATTTTGATAACTTTCTTATACTATTTTGGATTTGTATCAAACTTGGACAGAAGCTTGTTTATGATCAAATGCTAGTATCTAGAAGGAAATTTTGTTTTCTTCCAGATATAATTACATTCAGTCTGCAGTTAAAGTTTTTAAACATTTATTAGATTCATAAACTATCCTGGATTTTTACCAAACTTGGACTGAAGCTTCTTACAATCAAAAGATAGTATCAAGTGGAATATTTTTATTGATTTACTTCCTCATTTTTGTAGAGCCTGCCATTAACAGAAAAAGTAGGCGAGACACTTGGTTCCGCGGAACCCTTACAAATTTTTTTATGCCCCCGCCGTAGCAGAGGGGGCATTAGATTTTACCCTTGTCCGTCTGTACGTACGTATGTACTTCCCAAAGTTGGTTTCCGTTCTCTAACTTTAGTTTACCTCATCCAAATGTAATGAAACTTATACACAATGCTTATTACCACGAAATACAGATCAAGTTTAAATTTTGGTGGTGTCACTTTAACCGTTCTAGAGTTATGCCCCTTTACAAATGGAAAAGTTGCTGAGTTTTTCGTTTCCGTTCTCTTACTTAAGTTTGCATCAACCAAATGTTATGAAACTTATACACAATGCTTATTACCACAAAATACAGATCAAGTTAGAATTTTGGTGGCATCACTTTAACCATTCTAGAGTTATGCCCCTGGACAAATGGAAAAGTTGCTGAATTTTTGTTTCCATTCTCTAACTTAAGTTAGCCTCAACCAAAAGTTCTGAAACTTATACACAATGCTTATTACCACAAAATACAGATCAAGTTTGAATTTTGGTGGTGTCACATTAACCGTTCTAGAGTCATGTCCCTTTACAAATGGAAAAGTTGCTGAATTTTTCGTTTCCGTTCTCTAACTTAAGTTTGCCTCAACCAAATTTTATGAAACTTATGTAAGACACCCACTTACTGTTTGCTTATACTTTATATTTTAATGCCCCCACCGTGACGGAGGGGGCATTAAGTTTTACCCTTGTCCCTCTGTACGTACATCCCAAAATATAGTTTTCCTCAACCAAATTTTATAAAATTTATACACAATGCTTATTACCACCAAACATAGATCGAGTTTGAATTTGGATGGCGTCTGACACTTTCACCATTCTCGATGTAATAAATATAAAAATAAGAAGATGTGTTCAGGGATTACCACAACCTATTTAAGGATGGCGGTGAGCCACGCTTAAATTTCTAGCACCACGTTAAAATTCCCAGCGCCACGCTTATTTTATTGTCCGCCACACTTGAAAATTCAATAGATTGAAGTTAGATTTCAGATATCCCTAATCCAAATATCATGTCAGTGGCAATTAAGAAGTCGAATTATTGTTAATTGCCTCAAGGGATGTACACTGACAGTGATTATATTATTTACATGGTCTCGCGTGGTTGAACAAGGTAACAACCAATGACAGATCATGACACAGTTTCTTCAATTTGTAAAGTAAAACTTGTTTGCAAACTAGTTATTTTATAAATGCATATGTTTGACTATACCTTAAATGGAATGTTTATATTCTAACTAGATTAATTAAAGCAGTAATCCAGAAAACAAATGGATTCCCTGACCACATGGTCGTTTTGTTGACAACAATGTCACATGATCTCTTAGGCGGGAAAATACTGGGGAATACCTAAATAACAGACAAACATTGTTTGGTTATTTTTAGACAGTTAGATCTGGGATAGGAGTTTCCTTATCTTAAAATTCATTTAAAGTAAGAAAAGAGTAAAACTGGATATATAATTCCTTTACATAATTGTATTGGAAAATAGGGGAGTTAATTTAATAAAATTCTACATAACACATATGATTTTATAAACTGCTAGATAGGCTTAATTTGGTTGAAATGACTGAAATTCTGTGACTGAATATTTTTTTTTATTATTAATTTCTTTTTCTTTTTAGACCTTTTTACCATGTGGTTTTCCATAAGACAATTTAGATAAAATTGGTCAGAATATTCCTGCAATCTGGGAAGCCACATCAGGTGTTTACTCTCCCTGTTTAATATGTTCCTACAAGTGTGGTGACCACTAATAGGACCAACTACAAAATCTGTGTGAGACCCCCTTTCCAAATTAGCTATATATATATGACAAATACATGTAAGGCATATAATTAATAATTCATGCACAAGGAATCGATTCGACAACGCAACACAAAATCTCTGATTTGATGAACTTTCTCCCCCACCCTTGATTTTCATTCTGTGGTGAACCCTGGTGTTTGATTACCAATGAGACAACTCTCCACTAGAGACCAAATGACATAAAAGTTAACAACTATAGGTCACTGTACGGCCTTCAACAATGAGCAAAACCCATACTGCAAAGTCAGCTATAAAAGGTCCCTAAATGACAAATGTAAAACAATTCAAATGAGAAAACTAAAGACCTGATTTATGTATAAAACAATGAACGAAAAACAAATGTGATATACAGTAACAAACGACAACCACTGAATTACAAGCTCCTGACTTGGGACAGGCACATACAGAACGTGGCGGGGTTAAACTAGTTTTTTAGTGCCAAACCCTCCCCCTAATCTGGAATAGTGATGTAATAGTACAACATAAGAACAAACTATAAAAATTAGTTGAAAAAGGCTGAACTCATCAGATCGATACAAAGCAGAAAGACATCTAACAATAACACAGAATGGACACGGCAGGGTATTTATACATCCCCACAACAACAAAAAAACATTAAGTACAGATCTGAGAGTACTCGCAGTTACTGACCGCTAGTTCAAAGCCAATAACTACTGGTAATAAAAAAATTCGTAAGGGTTCCGCGGAACCCAGTGTCTCGCCTACTTTTGGTGTTAATCGCAGGCTCAACAAAAATGAGGAAAAAAATTAATAAAAATATTCCCCTCTATACTATGTTTTGATTGTAAGCAGCTTCTGTCCAAGTTTGGTAAAAATCCAGGATAATTTATGAATCTAATATATGTTTTAAAAACTTAAACTGCAGAATGTATGTAATGTTGACTGGAAGAAAAACTAAGTCCATTTATAAGTAAAATACGGAAAAAATGGAACAAAATTTTATCAAAATTTCCTTCTAGATACTAGTTTTTGATCATAAACAAGCTTCTGTCCAAGTGTGGTAGAAATCCAGGATAGTTTAAGAAAGTTATTAAAATTTCAAAAACTTTAACCATAGAGTGAATGTAATGTTTCCTGGCAGAAAAACTAAGTCCATTTATAAGTAAAATACGGAAAAATGGAATTTTTTTTTAACAAAATTTACTTCTGGATACTATCTTATGATCATAAACAAGCTTCTTTCCAAGTTTGGTATAAATCCAGGATAGTTTAAGAAAGTTATTAAAATTTCAAAAACTTTAACCACAGAGTGAATGTAATGTTTCCTGGCAGAAAAACTAAGTCCATTTATAAGTAAAATACGGAAAAATGGAATTTTTTTTTATACAAAATTTACATCTGGATACTATCTTACGATCATA